CTAATTGTGTGTGTTCTCTGGGAAAAAAAAAAGAAAGAAAGAAAGAAAAAAAAAATAGTCGGGCCTCTTGTCTTGATGAGAAATTGACATTTTCTGGCGGGGCCTGGCCAGGACTATGTGGGGAGATAAGACTTATAGTTGTTTTAAAGGCGCGCAGCCATTCTTCCAGAGGCCTCTTTATTGCTCTAGTTGACCCACTTGATGAGTATGGATTTCATGAGGTCTTTTTCAGCATTTGAACTATAAAAGGTTCAGAATGACACCACCCCTTATAGACAAAAGATAACCTTGCCCTTTGAATATATTGATTCTTTATTAACTAGGCTGTTTAATGCAATGAAATGAGGCATTAGATTGAAGCCTATTTCAAGTGCTTTGAATAATCTTTAAAAGCTTGAAAGACTTTAAAAAGCTGCTCTGCAATAATTGGCATATACTTTTAGAGACTCTATTCCTTCGGTTTGATTAAGGAATTGGTATCATCTTCCTATGTCTAGACTTGCTATAGGCTGACACAACTTATTTTCTTGACAGGGCTGTCGTAGGTGGTGGCTCTAGGACTTATCATTCCTACCACAAAATTTAGTTTCTTTTGTCTTTTCTTTGCATTGGAAGTTAGATGAACCATTTAGATGCTCTTTATTCAAACCTTTGAAGTAAACCTAAAAGGGAAAGTGCCAGTAGGCATCACGCAGGCTTTCATCCCTATAAACCATCTTATTTTTTTAGTGGGATGCATCTGATTATGCTGCCATTTAAACATGCTGCACAGATACACAAAGAGCAACAATTGTCAGTGCATAATAATAATCATAATCGAAATGCTCTGTATTTTTAACATCTGTTTTCATCAAACATAAAAACGATAGAAAAACTGGAGAAGAAAGGGAACTTAAGTTAAATACCCTGCATTTCCAGCTTGCTAAGTTGGGAGTGCAATGAAGCTGCAGCTTCTCCTCACACTCCATCACTTAACTGCTGAAACACAGGGCAAGGAGGGTGAGACTCCAGCACAGGGGGTGTCCTCTGGGCATATACACAAGTGCCCACACTCACTCTGCAGCTCAGAGTTGCCCTCTTGAAGTTGTCAGCAGCTCTCTGGTAAGGGCAGACTCAAAACTCCCCTAGCCAACACCCTACTTAGCCAGGATTGCTTTCCTCATGTTGCTGCTAGCAGCCAGACCCAGATTTTGGTACAAATTAATTAATACCCAAAGCCTGTGGCTGTGGCCACCCAAGGATGCAGACACACACACCTGGCAGCTGGGGTTGGGAGCCCAGATCTGGACTCGGTATCATAACCAGCTCCTCTGCCTGGGAGGCTGAGGCTGTGCCCTCCACACTGTCTTTATATTTCAGGTACATGATACGTACATCACACATCCTACAGACCAGAGGGTGAAATATTTGTGCTCAGCATTATAATTAGCAAAAGCATTTGCTTCCTCATCAGCATTTAAAAGACGAGCACACCGACCTTTGGAGTCAAACATGGAAAAATTCGGGTTGTGCTGTGTTTAAAATTAACTTTTCCTGTTTACAGACTTTTACAATACCATATTAAAATAGAAAAATAATTTTTAAAAATAACTCTGTGGTTACCTTCACTGGACACAGAGGGTGCCTGAAGCAGCTTTGGTTAGATGCTTCACCCAGACAAGTCATGGCAGGGCTGTGGAGCGGGGGTCTCCTCACTCGTCATCCTCCTTGGGGCTGCCTGGGCTATCCTGGGGCACCAAAAAGCCCCATCAAGAGTTGGGCTTCTTCTTTTCCAAGCCAGAACTTCAAATTGTGTTTGTTATTTAGAAATGAAACCCCCAGTGTTGCATTTCTTTGTTTTGTGTTTAGTCACTTCTTTTTTTCTTTAATAATCAAACCGGATAAAATTAAAAAAAAAAAAAAAAAAAAAAAAAAAAGAAATTCACAGACAAGAAATACTTTAATTAAATATTGTGTAAAATGAACATTTTTTTATACAGTTAAATATATGAAAAAATGTACAGATAAAACAATCTTATTGTAGGGTCTTTAACAGTAAAATCTACCATTTAGTGAAGCTTTTTTTTTTTCTTTCCCGTCTGGAGACAATGAAGCAATGAGTGCATTGACTAAGTAAATCTAAAACACAAACAGGTTCCATTTATGAAGAAACTTGCAAACTTTCTTAACATGTACACGTGACCTCTTCTTCAGAGCAGAAAAAAAACAACCCTTTAGACAGAATCTAACGGAGGCAATTCAGTTCCAAAGTGACTTCTCAGGCTTTTCCACGTAGCCAAGCCTTGGTCAGTATCCCACAGGACATGCCCATGGCATTGATCAGCTGTGATCAGCTCTGGCTTTCTTTTTTATTTAAACCCTTTCATAAAAGCTTTACTAAAATGTGCATTTTATTTTATTTATTTTTTGCCCAGAACAAAAAAAAATATATATTAAAAAAATAAAAAAGGTATCCCTCCTTTTTTGGTTAAAAAGTTGAATTCTGCTGCAGTTTGCAACATGGTTTGCAGTGCTGCATTTGCAAACTATTTAGTGCAAAGTAAATGAAAAGAAAACAGAACTTCAGGTGTGTCTCTGTGGGTTTGGCACCACCAGCCAGGATGGACAACGGAGGTCATTCCAGTTTAAAAAGTACAGTCAGCTACAGGTCTGTTACAAAAAGTTCCCTAAAAAAACCAAGAAACCTAAATAAGCAAACCCCAAACATTAAAAAATTCAGGTCTGGTCCTGATTTCAGGTGAAACTTTGATCTTTTTTAACCAGTGCAGGGCTCGGGAAAATGCAGAGTGCAGCAGAAAATCGACACAGAAAGGAGTAATAGAAATTCTACACCAGGTTTGTGCTTCTTTTGTTTTGTTTTTACACCAGAAATTATCCAAATGAAGTCGTGATTAACAATTGTGGTGTAAGCCTGTGAGAAAACAGCACAAAAGTTCTTCAAAGAAGTTCACTTTTAAGGCATCAGAGAAGTTAAATGTGGCAAACGTTTTAATTAAAACATCAGAAGTGAATTTATTTTAAACTTTAGGCCTCTGAATTTTTCCAGTAAACACAGTTCAGCTATGTGGCAAAGTCATGGGTGGCAGCTAAAAATGACTTTTTACAGTCTCTGAAAAAAAAATATTAAAAATAAAATTGAAAAAAGGAATTTAAAAAAAAAAAAGAAAAAAAAAAAACCAAACAAAAAGAAATCCAACCACAAAACAGATTCACCTTTTTTGTGGCTGTATCACATGCACATATTCTACTAGTATCATTACAGCCATGTGGCACAATTCTGATTTGACTATACAACAAACAACTTCTTTTTCTTCAAAATTATTTGTTCTGATAACTTAAAAAATAATATAAAAATAAACAATGAATTTGACTTTTCCTCAAAAATAATAAAAAAAAAAAAAGGATGAAAAGTCTAAATAATAGCAACTTTATGAAGTACAAATGAAATGTACGGACACTAATTTATTTAAAAGAAAAACATGAAGGCAACAAGTTCTTGGCTTAATGCTCTTCTCAGCATCACAATACCAGGCCATGACAAAAACCAAGACATACAAGAACAACAACAACAAAAAAATCAAAACGAAACAAAAAGATGAAAAGCAATATACAAAATTTCAAAGATAAATACAATATTTATAGTTGATATGTTACAAAATAAATTCCCTTAGTGACTGCAAGTGTTTATGTGAAAGAAAGTGTTGCAATAGGTAAGACTATTTTATTCCTTATAGCCTTTCATAAGGAATAAAATCTGCTTTTCTAAATATTTAAGTGGATCTGAAAAAAATTCAAGACAAGTGTATAAATATTTAGCTACAACTTTGGCAAAATCACAAAAGTCTACAATTTTATAACCACATACAAAACACATTAGGGAAGAAGGATCTAGAAGTCAAAAGGACAATTTTTTTCTGGTACAAGAAACATAGACTTCACAGTAGCCTAAGAATGCAATAGTATACAGTGCTAGCAAAAGTTGAAAAAATGTTGCAGATCACACTTGCTTAACAGGAAGCTCTAGCAGTGAAGTATATTTTTTGTTGTTTTTTTTTTGTTTGTTTGTTTGTTTGTTTGTTTTTAACCAACAGACAGTAGCAATTATTTATTTTATTATTATTATTTTTTTTCCCCTCTGTCAGTGTGCTTGTTGAAAGGCAAGAGAATTCAATATCAAAGTTACAATTTCTAACTACAATAAGTTACAAAGTTCCATTTCATTAAGATGAAGTTAAGCAATGAGAAACCCTCCCTCCCCCGCGCCCCCGGTTGGTTTTTTTTCCTTCTTCTAATCATATATTTCCTCCTTTTTTTGTGGTTTTTTTTTGCCTTTTTTTTTTTTTTCTTTCTTTCTTTCTGTTTTTTCCTTTTCCAGTTGGATGGCTCATCACCTCCTTGGGCCCTCCCCCCCCACCTCCCCCCTTCCCCTTTGTTTGTTTGTTCGCTCGTGTGTTTGTTTGTTTTTTCCCACCACAAAAAAATATTTCACATTATAGAGATACACAACCATTGTGAATCTAGGCATGAGTACAGAAAAATGTTCGGAGGCATTTTTCATCAGTGTTTCATGATCATCAAAATGGTGCATCCACAAAGTTTCTCCCAACACATAGCAAGTACTAGACATAGCCAAGACGTAATCAGAAACTTTATACAAAATAGGCGTCGCTTTTTCCTTAATTCTTCAGGACTGAGAAATGTGAAAATATGAGAAAAAATTCAGTCAATAAAATGGAATTGTTCATGAAGAAGTAGGTTGTTTTGCATGTAGATTCTTAATAGTTTAAATAAAATCTTTAAACGAAGTCTTTTTCTTTTTTTTTTTTCCTCCTCCTTTGTTTTGTTTTGTGGGTTTTTTCCTCCCCTTTTTTGTAGCATTTCCATCTGTTGCTGATTCTCTGTGAAGATACTGCTTCCATCAGCATGTCTTAATATACTAAACTTGTCCCCTAAGCCCATCCTCTGAAGCTTGGTGCTACGGTAGGTAAACAAAAGTGACTTTACATTGGCGGGACTACAAGCCCAGACATAGCTAAAAGAAAAAGAGAAGAACAAAAAATAAAAAATCAGCTGTTATTAGCAGTTGTGGGTAAGGAACACCTGGTTCACACCGACCTCCTCATGCCCCAGCACCCTCTGCCTGGGGGGCATGGACAGCCTATCCCCAACAACGCTCCCCAAGGGCTCCGTGATGCCAGAGGAGGTTCTGAGGGGGCTTCTGTTCCCAGAGCAGCCCAACCCCTGTAGCATATTTCCCAGCAGGGACACCACAGTCACTCCTGGTCCTGTCAGGCATCCCATGGGGATATCCCTGCAGCAGGAA